TTGGTTGGCAAAATAAAATGCCATTGTCAAACTTCATGGCGAATGAGATGCATCTTACAACGAACTTGCATCTTACAACGAACTTCCAGGTTGGTTTAGGCTGGTGCAGACGTTGAATCCTGGGACAATTATGGACTTCGAAACCTCATATGCATACCATAATGATCGAGTTATTCGTGATAAATGCAAATTCTACCGGATTTTTTGGAGTTACCCACAGTGCGTTAATGCTGCCAAATACTGCAAGCCTGTGGTCCAGATTGACGGGACTTTCTTGTATGGAAAATACAAGCAAGTTTTATTATTGGCAGTTATTCAAGATGGCAATCGCAACATTCTTCCAGTTGCTTTTGCTCTTGTCGAAGGAGAAGATACAGATTATTGGGCTTTTTTCCTCCGAAATTTACGTGCACATGTTATCACAAGGGAAAAAATTTGTGTCATTTCAGATCGCAGAGCTGGGATCAAAGAAACAATGGAGTCTTTGGGTCCAATGTGGCAACCACCCTTTGTCCAACATAGGTATTGTCTCTGACACATTGCTGCGAACTATCATGGAAGGTACAAAAAGAATGATGAGCGTCAATCAATTGTGCGCATGGGTAAGTGAAAGCAAGTTAGTAAGTTATATATTTTTTGATCATTTTAATTTTGCAAAGAAAGCAAGTTAGTAAGTTATATATTTTTTGATCAGGTTACGAACTACTTCCTCGAACGTTTGAATCAATACTTCAAGATTTACAGGCGAAGAACGAGGAAGGATACGATTACATCAGCCTCATCGATAAAGAAATGTGGACGAATGCATATGATGGTGGATATCAATATGGACACATGACGACTAACTTGGCTGAGGCAATCAATTTAACCTTAAAGGGTGCACGTCACTTACTTGTAGCGGCTTTGGTAAAAACTATATATTTTCATTTGGGGGCACTTTTTGCGAAGCTCGGGGGACAAGCTCAAACCTGGATGCAAGGCGGTCATGTCTATCACCCTAGATTAGTTGCAGATCTACAGAAAAAAATTGTTGCATCAAATGGAATGTCTGTAATAAGCTTCTCTAGAAGGCATGAAATGTTTCGTGTCACAGAGTTACCGCGACCTCTTCAAGGGATTGAAGCTGTGTCGTTAAGAGTAAATCTAAGGGACAGAATGTACGACTGCGGGTTTTTTCAAGCTCTGAAGTATCCATGCTCTCATGCGATAGCAGCTTGCTCGCATACACGTCAAGACTATAACCATTTTGTAGATCCCGTATACCTACTATCTGAAGTTTTTAAGGTATACGAATTTGAGTTTCCCCTATAGGTAATGACAAAGACCCTGATGAGGTTCAAGATTGGCTTCCGATTGTACCAAATCCGAGTTTATTGAGGGAGCGTGGTCATCCAAAATCCAATCGAATTTATTGCGATATGGATATTCGAGAAAGATCTAGACAAGACAGAAGATGTGGCCATTGTAGAAACCCAGGACACACTAGAAAAACATGTCAACTTCTGTTGTCATCAAGTAACAATTGATGAGGAAATGATGTATTTGTTTATCAAATAATAATTCTTGTATTTTAATTTGTATTTACTTCAAGTTAATGTCATTCGATAATCGCCAATGAAGATTAAAAAAACGAACACAATCATTAAATTTTATCAAACTAATAACAATTTGGTATTTAAATACAACAAACTTACAATAAGAATTAAATGGTAAATGATAACCAAATTACAATAACTGATATTAAATGGTAATAAACAAAATTAATTGAAATATATTAAAAAAAGTCCAACAAATTTAACAAAATAAAGTAAGTATTAAATGAGAAATAATAAAAAATTACAATTAAACAAAATAATGTAAATACAAATATAATAATAAAAATCTATCGATGCATGCGTCGCGAATGTGTTCCGCAGGGTAGTGGCTGTCGGTCTCGAGGAGGATTTCTTCGTATCACTGGTTCTGACTCCTCGCTGTCATCATCATCGTCGTTGTCGTCGTCACCATCGTCGTCGTCGTCGTCACCATCGTCATCGTCGTCATCGTCATCGTCGTCGTCCTGAGCAGGTACATTAGGTTGATGAGGAGCTGATGACGATAAAGCACCTCCATAGAATAAGGACCCTGGAGGTGTATGACTGACTATCCCACCGGCCTGCGAAAACTGGGAAAACCCAGGCATCGCTGAGTGTGAAAACTGTACAGGAGGTATCTGTGCTGCGGCCATGAGTGATGAGGCTGAACCCGCCAAATATTCAGCATATGAACTCCAAGTCGGATATGCAAACATAGACCCATAATAGCCTCCAGGAGGGGTCATCTGTGACGGTGGCGGTGGCGGGGTCATAAAACCAGGTGAAGACGGCGGCGGCAGCATCTGGTAATTGAAAGGCGATGGCGGCATATGGTAATGGAAAGGCTATGATGGCATCATATATGGCTGCGGCATCATATATGGCTGAGGTGGCTGCTGGGAAGGTACTGCTGGTGCAGCTGAGGATGAACTGGAAGCACCTGCTCTCTGTCCACGAGTCGGGGGACGATGATGCTGTATCGGTGAACGTCTCTATCGACGTCATGGAAAGGTCTGCCCTCGTGCATCCTCGGGAAGTAGAAACGGTTTCCCGTTACTGTTGAACCACTCATAATAATCCTCAGCATACATCAAGAAGTCAGTAAAAATGGGCTCTCTACGTGGAAGGCATCGATGTCGATCCTCCCACAACACGACCCACTCATGATGCCTTACCAGCCAATCTGTATTTGTCTTGTCGCGTCTATCTAAGCTATGCAACTCGTCCATATTGCGAGGTGCTTCCGGAATTGGTTGAAAACAACCAAACTGCCAGAGCACGCGATCAGTGGAGTGCCACTCGATGGTCGCATAACAGATCGGAGGGACCATCGCCATCCAAACATCTGATGGACCCCTTAACTCAGGTGGGATCACCGCCCTCACATCATCAGTAGAATATGACTCCCATTCAAACTAAAACAAATAATATATTATTTTTATCAAAATAATAATCTAATTATATAACTATAATCTAAAATCGATTTTTAAACATTAAAATTCATACCTATGTGCCAGCCTTCTGATCAATTAGCACCCTAATTTTTTATAAATCATCAGGTAGCCCCTGATGATTTTTCCTATCAGTAGACCACCTATTCAAGAAATTTTTTTTATACGCTGTATAAAATTATTAATATACAAAATTAGTTTTATAATTACCTCATAAGTAGTGGAAATACGAATGGGTTCTTCACAACGGGACATAAAAAGGGCAATCGATACCATGCCCAAGACTGCAGCAGCAGGAGACATCCGCCGATAGCATTACGTCTGTAATCAGTGGCTCCACACATCTCCCTGTACAACAAAGCCAAAACTGACGAGCCCCAACTGAATGATCCGGCGAGACAAAAGTCGCTAAGATGTCTCAACCACATGCAGTGACTAGGTTGCGCGATTTGTCCAACATCAACAACCCTCCTATCAGCTGCAGTATGCATGCCCGTGCATACATCTTAACCTCATCCTCAGAGGCTTCTGCGCTCAACTCCCGAAAATTGGCATCTAACCAATTTAACGGTATCCTACCTCCGATAAAATTTTCCGGGACACGTCCTAGACTATCCCGACACAAAGTAGTCCAAGAACCGGAAGCTATCCCCGATATCACATCTCCATCCACTGGAAGCCCCAGGTGCATAGAAACATCCTCAAGCGTGATCGTGCACTCTCCGCACGGAAGATGGAATGTGTGGGTCTCCGGCCTCCACCGCTCTACTAAGGCAGAAATCAGGTATGGCTCTATCTTACAGTGACCCTGATATCTACCTATGTAACCGAATCCAGCCTCTACTAAATACGGCAAGACACAGCTGGGTATCACTAACTTAAGATTCCTAATAAAAGGATCTAATACACGGTCCTTCTCCTAAAAATAAATAATTACAAAAAATTAATTCTTAATCTAATAATCATGCATTAAATAAATCAACTAATTATTACTAATAATTTAAATTAAATTAAAACGTTAAAATGTTACCGTATCAGCAAAGTGTCGAGATATTTAATTCTTAATCTAATAATTATGCATTAAATAAATCAACTAATTATTACTAATAATTTAAATTAAATTAAAACGTTAAAATGTTACTGTATCAGCAAAAAGTCGAGATATTTAATTCTTAATCTAATAATAATGCATTAAATAAATCAACTAAATATTACTAATTTAATTAATTAAAACGTTAAAATGTTACCGTATCAGCAAAGTGTAGAGATATATGATTTCCATCCGAGCAAAGTAGATTGTCTTCCATTATATATATGTAAAAGAATTATATTAGTAAAATATTAAATAAAGTAAATACATAATAGTAAAAATATTATAAAATATACTTTAAAAAGAGTATTTGAGAGAAATTTAGAGAATTTGATGTGATAAAAGTGATTGAGGATGGGGGTATTTATAGGGAGGATTGAGATGTGAGGGGTCGGGTATTTAGGGGTATAACACGCCCCCTGCACCGCGCTATACCCCACGTGTCAGATACGCAGGTATAGAGTGGATTAGGGGCCTGTTATACCCACGTAGTTCCAAATCACCGTATGTCGCGGGGTAGAGGGCGCGCTATATCCACGTGGCGTCAAATTAGGGTATAACGTTGTTCAGGGGATGCGTTTTACTACTACAGGTGTTGGATTAAGAAATATAATCTGACTGATATTAGATCGGTAAATATAACTATCACAGGTTATTTATTGAGAAAATTGCCTAAATTTTCAGAGGCATTGGCATTCTTCCTTTAATAAGGAAATGCCACGTGTCGATTCAGCTGCCAGTCTTGAAACCGGCTACACTTTTGTACACCCGAGACCAGTTAAGGAGCAGCCCTCCCGTTGACCAAACCAAACTTTCAAGAAAGCAGAACAGAATTGAATATGCCTATAAAAAACATTTACGATCTTTGTCTTCTTCTAGTCCCAAAAAAAAAAAAAAAAACAAAAACAAAAAAATGGAACATTTTCAATCTCACAGGGCCCAAGTTGTAACTGTAGCTGTTGCCTTGGCTGCCGTTGGTGCTGCTACTGCTTATTATCTTTATGTTTCGAAGAAACCCAGAAAAGGTACCTTTCTTCTTCTTCTTCGTCGTCATCATTCTTCATTATATGTGTATATATAAGGAAGAAATTGATTTCAATTGTGTTTCTGATGAATTTGTTTCGGGGAATTGTGTTAAACCAAAATTGATGCCTTTCTGTAATATATAGCGAAATGGGATTTCTGTATAAATTGGTTTATGGTTTCATTGCTTGTGCTATCGGGATTGTTTATTCTCTATAATTTCTATATCTCCATACAGATTACAGAAGGCGCTGTTTGTAGTTTAGAAATTCCTAATTCCCGTATATTTTTATCTTGTAAAAGTGGAAGTTTTTCATCTCCTAGCAGCTTTATGTATTTAGTTTCTTCAGTAATGCTTTTGTTATTGGTCATCTTTGGTTAACTTTAGCTCCTTTCTGGTGGTTGAATGCTTTGCAATCGAACAGTAAATCTTTGTTAAGCAAATTTGATGTTTCAATAGCTTGCTTGGGTCCCGAAGAATTCAAGGAATTCAAACTCGTTAAACGCACTCAACTCAGTCACAATGTGGCCAAGTTTAAGTTTGCTTTTCCTTCACCAACATCAGTCTTGGGGCTTCCAATTGGACAACATATGAGTTGCAGGTTTCTCATGACTGACTTTTTATCGTCATCATCGAATGTTGATGCTTTATTTCTGCACCATTATATTTGCACGTTTCCAGTAATCTGTTCGACGATATTTAACCCAAACTGCTGCGCGTATTTAATTTTGTTTCTTGAATAGAGGAAAGGATCAGAATGGTGAAGATGTTATCAAGGCATATACTCCAACAACTTTGGATTCAGATTTAGGGTACTTTGAACTAGTCATAAAGGTTTATATGCAGCATGCAATTGATGCTTTACATTTTTCATGATGTAATTTGTGTTCTTTCTTGCTTACATTAGTACATAATTTAGTTTTCATGCACTGTAGATGTATCCTCAAGGAAGGATGTCCCACCACTTCCGGGAGATGCGTGAAGGAGATTCTTTGTCTGTGAAGGGACCCAAGGTAAGTTTGTTTGCTGCTATGTTACATTATGTTACAAATACTATCCTTTTGTTTCCATGTTTTGGTTTCAAAACCCAGTTGTAGCTCCATTACATATGATACTAATGTCGAAAACAAATTGATGGTATGTAGTCTTAATCTATGAAATCATGATTCTTTAACTTTTAATAGTTTTGGATTCTTCCTTAAAGAGTCATCGATGATCGCAAAAGAAACCGAATTGGTAGTAAACATAGTGATTTTACATATATTTAAGGAAAGCTCAGGTGTAGGACTTACATTATGCCTTACACTATGTCACTTTGTCTATGGTTGTCCTTTTATTGAACTAATCTGGTTTGACCTAATGAGTTTTGCGTATTTAATCTTTTGTGTTAACTCGTAGAAGAGTTCTTGAATTGCGAGTAAATTATGAAATTATAGCAATACATAGGTTTTGGAAAGAAAAAAAATGCACACTGCACCCAGTGTTTTAGTTCCTTTTATGGGTAAAATAAGGTGACCTTTATTGCAATTTTGAAGCATGTCCTAATGTGTCGTATACATTTGTCTCCTAGGAGAGACATCGAAGGAATCGTATTCCACAATAAATATATGTTCGACTAACGGCTCATAATTTATATGCCTATGTGATGCTTTCAGGGACGCTTCAAGTATCAACCTGGCCAAGTTAAAGCATTTGGCATGCTGGCTGGGGGCACTGGCATCACTCCGATGTTCCAGGTCGGTTATTTTAGATAAAGGAGCTCGGCTATATCGAATGACTTTCCTTTTCTTCTCCTTGAATAAGACATTCTAGTTGATTTTTAGTTTAATAATTCTCAGTTGTTCAGGTTGCTAGAGCCATATTAGAAAACCCAAATGACAAGACTAACATTCATCTTATTTATGCCAATGTTGCTTACGAGGACATCCTGTTAAAGGTTGGTTCCATTTCTCGATTAATAAAGATTTGCAGATCTGAAATTCTCAGACTTTGGGGCAACAAAGGGATGCCTGGGACTAAACTGTTTTCTGATAGGAGCAATCTAATTCAAACTCATTGTTTTTCAGGAAGAGCTCGATGAGCTCACCAGTAGATTTCCCTATCGTATCTCCGTCTACTATGTTCTGAATCAGGTATACAAGTCAACAGTTCTTTTTTTTTTTTTACTTTCTCGACATCCACATTATTGATGAGCTCATTTTTTTTGCACGTTTAAACGTCATGGTTCAGCCACCTGAAGGATGGGATGGCGGTGTAGGGTTCATATCCAAGGAAATGATTCAAGCCCATTGCCCTGCCCCTGCTGAAGATATTAAGGTAAATCTTTCATCCATCCCCACCTTCTTTGTCCGACTTATCATTTTATGTAATGCTCGATGCAGTGATTCGATTTCCCACTCCATTGATACAGATTTTGAGGTGCGGACCGCCTCCAATGAACAAGGCAATGGCCGCCAATCTTGAAGCTCTCGGATACTCTCCCGAAATGCAATTCCAGTTTTAAGTCTCCATTCTTATGTCTTAGCCTGCAATTTTTTTAAAATGAATCACCGAAGGAAATTTCAGTCCATATAACATCGTATGATTTTTTAGCTATGGCTTTACTCCCAATTAATCGAATCACGATGCTGTCGTACCTGTAATAATCAGTACTCACGTCATTACCAAATTAGTCATCAGAGAGTAGAAAAACATCAGATAAGAGAATAGTGACTGTGCTTGTACACATTGGGCACATAAAAAATGACATGTGATAGCATTGTAGTTCCAATTACATGCAAAATAGTATTGTTGTCCTGTGACATATTGACTAATACTCCAACTAAAGAGTTTATTTTGAAGTTATTCAGCTCGAGCGCAAAAACCATGATTGGCTTGACCGAGCAACAATCACTGCGATAGCTTAAAATTTGTTGTACTGTATCATACAATAAACAACTACTACTGTTTTACTTTATGGTCCTATACGATAAGAATGCAAATGAGAGGCGTGTGCTCATGTAGCGTTCTGGCCGGGAAAAGAAGTTGAATTCTGCTCCAGCCATTGTAGAGTTGAGCTCAAGCTATTGGGCGAGTTGAATTTGGGTATTTTAATACTTTACTCAAATAGTTTGTCAACCTAGTACTTTTTTATTTTTATTTTTTTAATTGATATTGGAAAATCTCAATTTGAACTTGAAAGTAAATAATCAAATTTGAAGCAAGTATGGCTTATCTTTTACTAGATAAAAGTTTTTTTTTTTTTAAAAAAGAGGAGAATTTTATTACTAGCCAACACAAGAGACCACATTGCAAAGAGCCACGTTAGAAAACATCCCTACTCCTAAATGGAGGAAAAAGAGTACATCTGAGCAATGACACAATAGAATACAATGACAAAAAACATAAAACACGGTGTAAACATGTAACACCCATAGCCCATATATATATCGATATAAAAGCCACAGATGTCACATTAACATGATGAACATTTACTGAGCATAAAGACTTAAAACCTCATTTTAAGTTTAAACCTTCTCTGCTTCAATTTAAAAACCTTAACCTTATTTGTATAAAACCGTAAAATAAATTTAATAACCGAAAACAAGTCCAATTTCAGTCAGTAAGTAGACAGTTCAGAGCTGGCCATAACTATATATATATATATATATATATCATTGCATAAATACTTCTTAGTTTAAAAACCATTTAAAACCAGTCATAATAATATTCATTCATAAATATGATTATAACTAAAATTAATGAAAAATCAAAACAAGTTCTAAATTAATATTACATATTTTTTTAATGTAAATCTGATAAAAAAACCCAACGAATATAATGTACATGCCACTAATAAGTCAACGTTAGGATGTCTTACTGATACTGTTGGTAAGTTGGATTTTCATAAGATGCTAGCAAACTCCTCACTTCACATCCTCTACTTTATTTGAACCTACGCATGAAAATCATCATGCACTAAATAAAACTTATTGAGGCAGAAATATAACTAAAACATAAAATCCATAAAATATAAGCAATAAACTGTAATGTAAATAAAAACATTAAAACTTCAAACCGGACTTTCCAAGCCCTATTTTTCCTCATCAGAAACATGAAAATCATGCTCTCATAATTTTATCAAAAGCACAATAATCAACATCAGCAATAGTATACTTTGCATAGAATTTTCATTCAGATACATTTCAGAATTTTCATATTTTTCATTTTTATATTCTTTTTCCTTTTAGTCACTTCATAACTTTACTTAATGTTTATTTCATTTTCATAGCCCAATATATTTATGATAATGCAAGATATATAAGTCAGACGAGTGAGTGTAATAATTATTTAAGTGCTATCATCATAATCAGAATATATAAGCACACACACTGTTATCATATCAGAATCGTAATGTGTACACAAAGTGCAATCAGATCAGAATATATATACTAGTGCACTCACCAGTACACCACAATATATCTCGATCATGTTCCAGGCTCTAGCTCAGTGTGAGTACACGTTAACAAAGATGGCGTTGAGTAGAGAAGCAATTGATGATACTGCCCTTGCAGGAAAGGTGAGTCTTGATTTGAGCATAGAATGTACAATGACATGAGAACTTATTTAAGCTTTGTAGCCTGAAGCTGTATGTTCCAAAGGAAGGGCATTATGTGCTTTGGTTGTCTATGCATTGCATATAGGAGGTAGGCAGTAACTGCATTATCTAGTTCGGTTCAGGTGGCTTACTTGGTCATTCAAAATTGATCAAATATATTTAGGGTAAACTATGTATTTAGTCATCCAACTGTCCTTGTTGTTTCGTTTTGGTCACTTAACTATTTTTTTCAAAATCATCACTAAACTTACATATTTGTTCCATTTTAGTTATCCACCATTAAAAAATGAACATATCTATTGATGAGGTATTTTTATTTTTCCAATGATGATGTGATATTACTGTATGGTGACACGTCAACATCACCATTAATATTTTACTGGCGGGTGACCAAAACGGAACAAGACATAAGCTTAGTGATGATTTTGAAAAAAAAAATAGTAGAGGACAAAACAGAACCGCGTGATAGTTGGGTGACTAAATATGTAGTTTACCCTATTTTTATTCTCTATTGTGGATGTAGTGAAGAATTGAATTCAGATTACATGATTGCCTTTTGGAATTCAGATTACTTTCTAATTTTAACTGTTTTCGAGAAACTAAAAGATACGGGAGCTGTTGCAAGTTCCACGGCTACAAAGATATATGGACTGAACATTCTTGCTGAAGATATTTAGGTTTACGTCAATAAGATTTGTTCATATTTGTCTTGGATCATCTTGTCTGGGGATCGTGTCTTCACTATTGCTGCGCATATCTCCATCTTTTCTTCTATCATGGTCCTTCACTGATCATTTTCTCCTGCTAGATAGAAGCTAGTCGGTTGTGTTATCTATACCTGTACTCTCAGGGGGTGTTTGGTTCAAGGAATGTGGGATGGGAATCCCACATTCCCATGTTTGGTTGGCTGGGAATCTCATTCCCGGTAATATTTTATTACCAATAATAGATTTTTTTGGGTATATTATCGGGAATGTCATTACCTCCCTTCCCTTAGGTATTGTAACATTACGGCGTTTTGGACTAAAATGCACTTAAATTTTTATTTTTTTTCAAAAATATCCTTCTTCTGTCATTGAATAATAAAAATTCTACGAAGGTTAAATTACAAATTTATCCTTAAATTATTTTAGATTTACAAAAAAAGTCTATAATTAAAATTTTATATGAAGTTTAGGGGTTAAATTTTTTTTACCCTTTCATTAAACATTTTTTATATTTTTAATTTTGTAAAAAAATCATATAAATATTATGAATTTAATTTTTTAAAGAAAATATATAAATATTTTACAATTTGTAATATTATACAAATATATAATAAGGACAATTTGGTAAAATATACATTCCAATAATCTTTTATTCCTTTGACCAAACACGGTAATCTTACATTCCTGCTAAACCAACCAAACACAAAATACAACATTCCCAGTAATCCTATTCCCTGGTAATCTTTTATTCGCACTGGTAATCTTACATTCCGTGAACCAAACGCACTCTCAGGTCCCTTATTGTTTGTTATTGTCTTGTTGCCTTTCTTTTATTTACGAAACTTAAGTATGTTGTTTTTATTTCTTTGCCTAATAAAACACAGCCGACGTTTAATAAAAAAAAAGTATTTAACATGTGATAGAATGATTACTTCGTTTCCTATTTTTTTTCTTGATAAAACTGTTTTACGACAATTGACAAAACACCGGACAATGACAGTGACATTTGATAAAATAAATTATTTAATTTTTAATGTTTATCGAATGAGTCGATCGCAAATTAGATAGAGTTCGACTAGTGCTCATTAAAAAAAATTGATATTTGACTCTTCTTGTTGCTCGTTAAACTCGTTAAAATTTTGTTCGACTTGTACTCGTTAATTTTTTTTTTGTTGCTAGACTCTTTACTCAGCCTGGTACTTGTTAAATTAATCAAAATTTTATCCTATTTTTTAACTATAAGTAAAATCTATTAATACTATATAAAACTTAACATAAATATAAATTAATTAATTTAATCAAAAAATATATGAAACAATTTTAAAATTTAAACTCCAAAATAACAATCCACAAATACATTAAATAGTGATTAACATTTGATTTTTAGACGTAGTAAAATAATAATTGTTAATTAATATTTAATATTTTTTGCTATTTATTATAAAATTAATAATTTAGTAATTTATCACATTTTTTATTATCTATACGTAAATTAGTAATTTTTTAAACGGAATAATATTTTAAGATAACTACTGAAAAGTTATAAAAAAATTAACGACCTGATTACAAACTTATCAAGTCGAACTGAACTTTACTCGTCTCAATTCATTAAGATCTCAAATCGAGTTAATTCAAGTGGAGCTTTTACTGAATTTTGACCGAACTAAATTTGTGCTGCTCTTCTACACCATACCTTACTATAAATCATCACCTCATTCCATGGAAGGTGAATACAAGGTAATACCAAACGACGATTCATGTTAGCATTTAGCAGGTGATAAAGGGATGGTCATACTTAATGGAATCCAAATCCATTACATTGCGAAAATATTAAATGTCTGATCCTGTGAGCACAAGTTGAGGCCATGGCCCTCTCATTTTACATATCCACATAAAAGGAAAAGAAAGAGAAACATGATGTCGCCGGCGTTCAGACATTATCGTAACTACAAACATTCGCGAACATCGCAGCAAAAAGAAGGTTTGAGTACCTGAAATCTGTCCAAAAGCGAGAAAACTCAGATAGAGATATTAAAATAAGAAAACATGGCATCAATGCAATTTTGATAAAAAGGTATTATTGGCATGCCTCATGGTTGCCTATTTCTGTGGCTTCTTCCACAACACTCCAATCTTCTTCAGCATGTTCCCGTTTTTCTTCTTCAGCAACTCGTCATCTGAATCTTCAGTGTAAGGTGAGCTAAACTTTCCCTTAACCGGATTATAATTGCTATCCAGTGAACCAGTTCTCTCCACGAGCCTCC